TGAATTATAGCATTTTATATTGAACTTTTAAGAAGTAAATTTATTTTTATACTTTAATTATTTCTTAACATTTTATAACAATTAGTCATATGTTTGATTATATGATTTTATGTTATACAATTTTAAACTAATAAATAGAAACATCAAGACTGAATTGAATAAAAACTTAATCATTGATATAAACATCCATGTAATCAATCAGTAAATTCTTCAAAATGATTTTGTAGCCTAAAATATGTTATGCAATCAATTAATGTAACTTTAAGTTTGTGATATATCTGTCAAATGCAAGCCTGATTTGTAATTTGCTTGCCCTTTGTCGTCAAAATCAGTTATAAATCCAAACACACTTTTACTGCATTTTTATTTAATTTGTTTCATAAAATATTAAGTTATATCTAAAGCTTGTTATTTAATACTCAGATATTTAAGAGAATTTTGCAACAAATATTTTTTAATTTCTTATATGAAACGTTATTTAGTAGTTTCTTAATTTTGTAATTATTATTTAATATCAAAGATATTGCTAAGACTTTCAGAGACTTATTTAAATGATAATACCTTTCAAACCAAGTTATCATATTAATATTAGCAATTTTTATTTATCAAATAATCCATAATTTTCTCATAATCCGTAATCTGAAAAGAGTTGAACCAAAACTAAACATATTTACTCCAAACTCCCATTAAAACACTGTATACCGGGTATACTATACCCGTATATCAGTATTTTATTTGGTAAAATACTAAATTTACATAAAAATCAAACCAAAATACTATTAAATATGTTAAGAATTGATTTAACATTTGAAATTTGTGTAAAACAATGTCGGATTAATGAAACATTCATATCATTGAGATTTCAGTTCATTTAATTTAGTCTTTTCTAAAACGTTTTGTCTATTGATTGCAGTAATGTTTAAACGAATCAAATTACTAATTGAATATAAAAGGCCTTTCAATCATTAATACAGTATATTATTATCACAAAACGCTATAAACAAAATGTGAATTTAAAATTCATTAAAATGTTTTTTTTATAACTTATTATATAATTTTAAAATCAAAAGTGCGGAAATTGAAGATAATTTTCGTCTGTGTTGTTATGTTTTCGTACAAATAAGATAATATTTATGGTTTAATTACCATTTATTATATAAAATCATTATTACTATCACTTCTAAATAGAAAATTTTATTTTAACGCGTTTTGCATATATTTTTAATTATAAAAACATTTATTATAAAATTCAAATGATCTAATACTCATTAATAATTTTTATTACATGGTAAAGTAAGTTGCAGTTTAAATAAAAATTATTATACAGTACAGTACATGTTTATAGGAAAAATATTTTATAAAATTGTTGAGAAACACCAATACATGTTCAAAAGTTAATTTTTATATATTTGAGATAAATACTACTTAATCACTATAAGTTTTAATAATGTATTAATATTAAAGTTGTATATTTTACAAACATATACTGCACAATTTCATGTACAGTACTGTAGTATAATTCAATATTGCGGTTCAGTAGAGTACATTCTGTATTTTAGATATCTAACTTATTTTAATAAAAATTAATTAAATTTATCAATTATTAACTAGTATGTATTACTAGGGTAATATATTAAAATACGGTATATAAATTATAATACAGTATATTTAGACTATTATTTAGACTGTGTATTTTATATGATATTTTGTTAAAAAGTTGGTTAAAAACTTGGTTAATAGACTATTTTAAAGTATATAAATGTCCATGGTAATCGCAATACAAAAATTCTATTACAGTAATACTGTGAATTCTTATAGAGGAATTAACTTATCATAAGTTATTATAAGTTATTATAAGTTTATGCGATATAAGCGCCACTTATTAGAGGAATTTGAAATTATTTCATGATTTACCCAAAAAGCGGTAAAGGACCCAGAATTAATACAATCAAAATGGTATTTAAATACAGGTTAAATATTGCCATTATTACTAAAGTCATAAATTAGGTACAATTATGAATCACTAATCATTTGTGAATTAATCATAATTTGAAGGCATATGTAATCTGCGTTTAGGTCATTAGCAGTGATAGCAATACAACTCAATACAACTCCATCTAATCGACTGTCTCTCAAATATAAGTGAAAACTTGTAAAAAGTGTTCAAATGATTGAAAATCATTGAAAATCGTTGAAAATCATTGAAAATCATTGAATGCGTGAATGTATTGAATGTATTGATTGGCAATCGATTGATTGGTTGACGAAATCCATATCAACACAACTGTTGATTGCAGTCCACACTAAAGACACCATTCATTGACTGGTCTTATCATTGACTGCTATTATCTTGAATTAAACTCGTTTTATATCACAACCCAATTGCAGCCGCATTCACTCGCAATCACTGCACTGGAAGTGTTGGATCAGACCGAACATATTGAATCTGTTGGCCAATTGTGGTAATAAGTGGTGACAATGAAGTTAATTATATTGGATGACTACCAGAGAGTGTCTGAATGGTGCGCCAAATACATCCGCAAGACTATCAACAACTTCAAGCCGGGACCTGACAGATACTTCACCCTTGGTCTGCCCACCGGTAGTACACCACTCGGTACTTACCACAAACTCATCCAGTTCTACAAGTATATCCATTTCTATATCCATTTGTACCATATATTGCCGATATATAAGTTACTAGCCAGCACCTTTTATACACTAATGTACTTAAGTGTCCAACTGATCCATGTGTTTGATAATCAAACTTTGATTGTCATTTCATTTCATGCAATACTAATTCATTAACTTATATTAGCATTCAAAATGCATTGAAATGTACTGTAAATGTGGTTAATTGCATGTACTGTACAGTAATTAACCTTTCATTTAGTTTAAAACAAGATCTCTATTGGACTCAAAGTGAGACATATTGGCAGACATTAGCTAAACTTTAACAGAGTTTCTAAAGTGAAGCCACTTTTGACTAATTGATTGACAATTGATATGAATTATGTTTAATTGGTTGGAAGGGAGGGAACGCTATCTTTCAAATATGTCAAGACATTCAATATGGATGAATACGTGGGTCTTCCTCGTGACCATCCGGAGATAATCTGTTGGCCAATTGTGGTAATAAGTGGTGACAATGAAGTTAATTATATTGGATGACTACCAGAGAGTGTCTGAATGGTGCGCCAAATACATCCGCAAGACTATCAACAACTTCAAGCCGGGACCCGACAGATACTTCACTCTTGGTCTGCCCACCGGTAGTACACCACTCGGTACTTACCACAAACTCATCCAGTTCTACAAGTATATCCATTTGTACCATATATTGCCGATATATAAGTTACTAGCCAGCACCTTTTATACACTAATGTACTAATTATAACTTAAGTGTCCAACTGATCCATGTGTTTGATAATCAAACTTTGATTGTCATTTCATTTCATGCAATACTAATTGATTAACTTATATTAGATAACAAAATGCATTGAAATGTACTGTAAATGTGGTTAATTGCATGTAACTTATTGTACAGTAATTAACCTTTAATTTAGTTTAAAACAAGATCTCTATTGGACTCAAAGTTAGACATATGAGCAGACATTAGCTAAACTTTAACAGAGTTTCTAAAGTGAAGCCACTTTTAACTAATTGATTGACAATTGATATGAATTATGTTTAATTGGTTGGAAGGGAGGGAACGCTATCTTTCAAATATGTCAAGACATTCAATATGGATGAATACGTGGGTCTTCCTCGTGACCATCCGGAGAGTTACCACTCGTTTATGTACCACAACTTCTTCAAACACATAGACATCGATCCGTCCAATACTCACATTCTGGACGGAAACGCATCCGATCTGAAGGCAGAGTGCGAGCGCTTCGAGAAACTCATCAAAGACTCCGGAGGTATTGAACTGTTTGTGGGCGGCATTGGACCCGACGGTCACATAGCCTTCAATGAGCCGGGTTCTAGTCTCGCCTCCAGGACACGCGTCAAGACATTAGCCGACGACACAATCCTAGCGAACGCCCGCTTCTTCGGCAACGACTTGTCGAAAGTGCCGACAGAAGCGCTCACTGTTGGCGTCGGAACTGTTATGGACTCCAAAGAGGTATTGTATGGACACTGAGTCTGGCATACAATTAACGCCAATCATTGACATAAATCAGGTGATTATCCTCATCACTGGTCAGCACAAGGCTTTCGCGCTCTACAAAGCCATAGAGGAAGGTGTGAACCATATGTGGACAGTATCTGCCTTTCAATTACATCCGTCCACTCTCTTCATCTGCGACGACGACGCGACTCTTGAGCTCAGAGTGAAGACCGTTAAGTACTTCAAGGGATTGATGAGAGTTCACAACAAACTGGTGGAGGATTGAGATTGTCTTCAAGTAGTTGTTAACCAATTGTTATAGAAATGCCTTATATTTTAATCAAATAAAGACCATAACGTCAACTGATTTACAAAGCAATCAACTCTTCGTTGAATGAAATGAATGGAAAAATGAATATATTTTTAATGAAATGACAATTTTAATGAAATTGAATCCAAAAATTGAGTACAAAATAAGTCAATAAATTAAAAACGGTTTAAAAAGGTTTAGACATAATACAAGACATGACTCCTAGACATCAATGGTATGATTGGCCCTAAAAAGGGCCGTTTGTGGACAGCCATCAACCCACCGCTTACTTGCTTGACGTGTATTTGGTGACAGCTTTGGTGCCCTCAGAGACGGCATGTTTGGCCAGTTCTCCGGGCAGAAGGAGACGCACAGCGGTCTGGATCTCCCGGGAAGTGATTGTCGAGCGCTTGTTATAGTGCGCCAAACGGGAGGCCTCGGCGGCGATGCGCTCGAAGATGTCGTTCACGAAGGAGTTCATGATTGACATGGCCTTCGATGAGATACCAGTGTCCGGGTGGACCTGTTTCAGCACCTGATGGACAACAAGGAGAGAGACAATGAGTTGAGCGCCAAAACAGACAATGAATGGCTCGTGAGGTATGACTTACTTTGTAGATATAGATGGAGAAGGACTCCTTCCTCCTCTTCCGGTGCTTCTTCTTATCGCCGGCGCGGACGGCCTTCTGGGCCTTTCCGGCCTTCTTCACGGCTTTACCACTCGGTTGGGGAGGCATTGCTTCGGAGGTTTGGGTAAGACTTTGACAACACTTCAAATGATAGCGAAATCAAAATTTCAGTCAATGGGAGCTCTCTATGTCTACTCAATGCTTATATACCCCTAAACTGGTGTCCAAATCACAAACCAATCACAAACTGGTGTCATAATCACAAGCCAATAGAAACGCTGCGTTTTGCTGGAAAACCAATGGCAGTGCAGGCGTACGACGTGTAGCAGTGCTTGGAGGCGAACGTATGCGTGGACTCACTGCTCTGCCATTGGCTTGTGATTTGGACACCAGTTTGTGGCTATAAATACGACTACACTTTCATTTTGAGCTTCAAATCACTTTTGAGTCATTTCTCGTGAATCTAACCGAAAGTCAACTCAAACTCTGAAACAATGTCTGGAAGAGGAAAGGGAGGAAAAGT